AGCGGTTCGGCCCCGGCCTCGTGGGACGCGGCCTGGGGGCTTTGGGCCCTCAGCTGTTCAATCCTGTTTATTTTCTTTGTGCACCACATCACTGCATTTCTGAGAGAGAGATGGATGAGGGGACGGCGGAGCTAAAAAAATAACAGTCCCGCTACAAACATTAACTTTTGATAAATGTTTGTTTAGATGGCTTTAAAATCTACGTAGTCCACTGAGAGGGAAATACAGCAGCCCCCAGACCAGGCTGGTGTTTCCCTCGCAGGTCGGCTCCCGCTCTCAGGAGCCTTCGGTGTCGGTGTTGTCGCTGCCGGTGGTGTTCTCCCAGTCGGCCTCTTGGTGTCGGTCCTTCGGTGCCCTTCGCAGTGCTCTTTTTCTGAAAACAAGACTAGATGTTTCATTTTTAGAAGATGTTTTCCACAAACAAGTGGCATTTGAATGCTTTGGGGAGGTTACGTTATGTATCAATCCACTTAGCGTTTAATTGAAGGTGAGGGTTTGCTCACACACCCAACATAAAGCTGTGACCGGTACGTAGCAAGCACAGGGTAAAGAGAATTGGTCTACGTGATGAAGACATTCTTAAATTTCTTGCAGCGTAGTGTATTGTTGATGCTCAGTTGAAGAAGCCAAGAAATCCTACCCAAAGTCCTTTCTTTAACAAAAATAGAACTGTCACCCATCAGAAGAGTCGTTTACAGTGCCATTAGGAGCACTTCTACCTAATGCTAGAACTGAGGTCCCTGTTCTACAAGGTTTTCATGGGTCTCATGCTCCATAAAGGCAGTGATCAGTGAAGACAGCAGGCACGTGGAGAACGGGCCTTCAAACAAGAGCATTTGAAGAGGACAGAGGGGGGAAGTCTGCTCCCATTCGCAGTCATAGAGGCTTGGACTTGAATGTCACCAGTATATCAGATGGTCAGTGAATGTCAGATTTCACTGGCATAGGAGAAATCTATCAAATTTAATAAACTTGCAATTCTTTGGAGCCACCCCCACTACCCTGCTGTGGAACCATCTGCATGGTCCAGAGCGGATGTGATCATTGCTATCTCGGCTACCTCTGGTACTAAAACAGGAGTCTCAACCAGTTCAGCTGGAAGCATGAGCCTCTGAAGATAAGATCTGTAACGAATTTATGCCCTCCATGAATCAAGCCTGGGGACAGAGAATGGACAGAAAAGGGGAAATACATACAAGAAGCTAATCAGTTAAGTCACACGGGTATGTCTAAATTAGTCCTGGTTACTAAAGTCCAGACCTTCGGTAACGCTCAAAGCAGTCCTTCATCCTCCTCCGCTCCTTTTCTGCCAGTTCCTCGTTGGCTAAGCCACACTCCTTGAACTGGAAAAAAATCCAGACAAATATGAACTGGATTCCTCTGAAGATCACATCAATCTGAGCACCAGATAGTGCAAACCTGCTCTGCAAAGGTGATTGGTCATTTCTCCTCTCTGACTTGTTTGTGCAATGAATCCTTTACATTTAAATGAAGGAGAAAAAAAATGGGAACCTATGCTTTCAGATGACCAGGAACAGATGTTCACTACCAAACCCCTCCTCCAGGAAAGCAGTCCGCTGCGTACAGCTAGCTTCCTGCATCTGCCTGGGCCTGCAGAATGAAGTAGAGCGTGTTCATTTCTGGGCTGTCCACTATTGCGTGTGCAGGATGGTAATACATCTGTTTCACATAGTTCTACCATCTTTATTCTCTCCCATTTGTAAATTTGGGATTCTGTTTCCTGTACCAACAGTAATACTGCAGACAACTAAACCGGAAAACTCCATACTCAGAGATGAAGGCCAGACAGTAATTAGAAGAAGTTTCTGGGCACAGATGGAGAAATAACCACTGTAAATGTTGTGCTGTTCAGAGCTCACCCTTTTTGGAGGGTGAATTTTGCACAAAGTGCTCAGAGTTTGGAAAAGTGGTAGCTGCTTACGTGCTTCTCAAACCTGGTAAATCCATCAGTAACAAGAACAGTAAAGATCACAAACGCCAGTCATAGTAAAGAAGAGGCCACAAAGATTCTTACACTGGGTGACTTTGGAGGCAGACTGCTCTCTTGAGTGCTAAATTGCTGGTTTTGTCCTTCAGGGCAATCTTCTAAGAGAAGGAAAAATCACAGCTTTAGTCATAGTTGCCATTGTGAAGTAACTTCTCCCTCCGCCAGTTCGTCAAACAGCAACAGTTGTAATGTAACAGCTGCCCAGCACTACACAAAGTCAAACAGCAGAACTGAAACCAAGCTTCAAAACGTTCAGGATTCAGTCCTGTGGTCAATGCATGAGTCACTTCTCATTTTACTTGAACCCTGAATCTTGCTTAGGATGATGGAGTTCCCCATCAGGCTCAGAAAGCGACAGCAGCTTTCTAGTTTCTGCTTATGCAGGAGCAAAACGAACCTTTGCAAAGCAGCACCTCTGCTTAGCATCATTAAAAAAAAATAATCATGTTAAAGGTCACCACAAGAAATCACGTTAATCATTATTTTAACCATAATTTGTCCCTGTTCCCCAACAACTAAGTTGTACATATCAAGGCACTTAACATCAGACCATATTTTAGTGAAACTCCTTAGCTAGCGATCAGGTATCACGATACATGTTTTTGAACTGAGCGAGGTAGAATAATAAAAGGCTTTTTGGATCAGTGTTGTTTAGCTTTTGTGAAAAATCTCCCATCTCAATGAATGAAAAGATCACTTAGATCTTCCAGGAGATCAAAACAGAAAACAACTTCTACTGTGCTAGTTTCCTTCCTTTCTTAACATGTTTTGAAAGAGAATTTCAAGTTCTTAGAGGAGCCTATTAATTCCTTTCCACACTGCTGAATCATTTCCACTGGGGATGCCACAGAAACAGAACCAGTGACAGCGTTAACTACATGGTTCTGCTTTTGTGAAAATAGCCTGCAATGTAAAAGGGAAGAGGGGAGGGAAAAATCCCTGGAGAAAGCCACATGGTCCAGCTGAAGTGGAAGGATGTTTGTTCTGTTCTCAGCTCTGCCACAAATGCAAGAGGAGCGGGAGGAAAAAGGCACCCAGAAGCTATTTCTCAAAGGCACCAGGTACCAGGTGATTTTTCCTGGACAAATTCAGTAGACAGATTACCTCAAAAGAAAGACTCGAGGTCCTAGGATGGTCTAATGATACCATTTTTCCCAGGTCATTCAGCTACATGAAAGACCCCTTCAGAGACCATGTAGTAAAAAGACAGCCTGTGGAGCTTTTTCTCTCAAAAAAGCCTTACAAGCATTCACTGTTCCCAGCACCTGGGGACATGGCCTCCTTTTTATAGATGAGAAAGATGATACTAGTATGGCAGAACGCCTTGATTTATGGGAATATGACTATTCTGAGTCATCTCAAGGAGGTCTTACTCACAGTGCCAAGCACACCCCACTGAGAAGCACCTCTCAAACACGGAGTCGCCAGTCAGACTACCTGTACTTCACTAAAAATAAAACCCAGGAATGTCTTTTCCTGTCCCTTTGAAACACCAGACCATCCTCTCAAGAATTCTGCTCTACGATTTCCCAAGAAAAGCCTTACTTTTAGTCGGTTGTGTATCTTCATCTAGATGACCATGAAGAGTAAGCTATGGGACAGAAACAAAGCAAGAACATGAGAACTGCCCCTTATTCTGTCTCACACAGTAACTAGGAACAGGTGGAGGAATATAAGAAACAGGACATGCGTAGAACCGACCTTTCCTTAGTGCATCTTGCTGTCAGCAAAACAGGAGACTGAGGCAGAAGTTACAGATCTACTCATGGATTTATCCTCCATGAACAGATCCAGTTCCTTTGGCCTCATTTATACTTTTAGCCTCCAGACAATGTGACAATCACTTCCACACTGAAGTTATGAACTAAGTGAAAACTCTTTACTACAGAAGTCCCTGGGGTAAGACTTATTTTTTCCTGTTCTCCCACAAGAGAGACAATTAGAAGCAACTCAAAATAATTCAATTCCCCTGATTTGCTTAGACTAAACAAATCTTGCTGACTCACGCCATAACTGTGTCCTACACTTAGAAATCTCAGGAAACAGGGAGATCCTGTCACTGGTCTGTTTTGCTGCCTCTGTACTTTTTGGTATCAGTGGAAACGAGCCTGAGCCATGGATTGAAAACTGCTATTAGGGAACTGAGCACAAGTGAG